TAGGGGTTTAGGGTTTAGGGCGAAGCCTCCGAAACACGCGGGGAGCTGTCCTTCACTTCACATTGCTCCGCATACTCTTGTACTTTCTGTTCAGGCCTCTTGTTAAAGGATCCCTAGCCGTAAAGTTAGACCATACGGAATGTGGGGCCTAAACAAAATACTATTTTTGGGGTTCCTTAAACTTATTATAAGTATTGTATCATGGGTCCCAAAACCCTGTTCCAATGATTAACGGCCCCTATATTGCACTTCGAAGCCCGAAACCCTAAGCCCTAAACCCCCAAACCCTTCAACCCCAAACCGCTAAACCCCTCAACCCCAAACCCCTCACCCCCAAACCCTAAACCCCTCAACCCCTAAAACCTAAACAGAGCCCAGGGTCCGCCACAACTTGCCTTCAAGCTGCGGCGGCGGGCCCCAGGGGGGTTGAAAGCTGCGTTCGGAGCTTTTAGGGTTAACCCTAAACCCAAAACCCCCAAACCCTAAACCCTAAACCCCTAAACCCCTAAACCTAAACCCCTCAATTCTCAGGGTCGGTTTAGACTCAACCCTGATAGCCTGAAGTGCGAGATTTCGGCGAGGAGCTCTTCTCAGTTTCCCCCTGCTTTCCAGCAGAGGAACAGCGGGGTTGGAGGTCGCAAAATCAGGGCTTCAGCACTTGAAGGTTTAGGGTTAGGGGTTTTAGGGTTGGTTCGGAGTTTTGGGGTTGGTTAGGGGTTTTAGGGTTGGTTTGTGGTTTTAGGGTTGGTTAGTGGTTTTAGGGTTGGTTTGTGGTCTTAGGGTTGATTAAGGGGCTTTAGGGTTTCAGGGCCAAGGAGGTAGTGTTGCTGGCCTTCTCTCCTCCATAGCTTGCCAGGCACCCTAAACCCTAAACCGACCTTCTCAAGCTGCCCCCGCGGGAGTCGTCAGCTTGGGCAGGGTTTCATGCGACGTGTCAGTGAAGTTTAGTTGCCATGGCACAAATGCACGATATAGGCGTGCATTTCCGTAAATTAACTTTACATGACATGCTCTAGTAAATAATGCTCGTATGTATACATCTACAAGTACAGTGTGATTCTTGGTGCTTTCCGTTCAGAGGTAAGAAGCGCACAGACAGACAGAGCTTACACTATCATTTACTCGGTCTTACCACCATATACGATAACATGCCAGAACATACTAGAATAAGTTGTGACATACTGCCATAGCATAACATACTATAACATACTGCAATATAGGGTAGACGCTGAACCCCAATCCAGATAATCCCAAAGTGGAGGAAGGAATCAGTGCGGCCATGGACCGACTCTTCATCTCGGGGGAGGAGTGGCTGGGCTACGCACGGCCGTCCTTGCCGAATTGGCGCAAGACTCTTGGAGCAGCCGTCATAGTTGCAAGTAACAATAATCGTGTGGTAACTCGTAGCAATAATAATGACTATAATATTAGCAACAATAATATTAACCATCATAAAGACACCAGCAACAATTACAGCAACAACAATAATAACAAGTGATCGCAATAAATGTACCAGCACTAAGAAAAATCAGCAATCATGGTAGTAATAGTAATGACAGCAGCAACAGTAATGATGGTAACCATAGTAACACTCGTAATACTGTTACTATTTAGATGATAGTGGGAACGGTATTAGCAATAATAGCCATAGCAGCATGCTGCCGCCCTCGATCCGAAAAGCATCGTTAGGGGACCGTGCCTGCAGATGCGTGCAGCAGCTCATCAGGGATGTCAAAAGGTTCAGGGTCCATGTACCCAAATAGTATATACTTTGGCCTTAATGTAGTCCCTACGTAGGTACTTTGGGGCCAAAGTATATACTATTCGGTTACATGGACCCTTAGGGAAAGGTTCAGGGTCTAGGGGTCAAAACACCGCTTCAGGACCCTGCGGCTCGAAACTGCCTGTCGCGCTGAGGCACTGTCGTTGTTTGGCCTTGCTATAGTTTCTCCTGCTGCCAATCAATAACTTCCTTCCGAGTCCTTAGTAGTTGGGACCACACTCGCAGGGCCTAGCCAGCAAACGGAAACAACAGCGCAGCCATCGACCATCGTTACATTTCAAATTGCAGCCCCATATCGAGTTTGAATGACTTCTGATCATATGCGCGCCTAGTCTCCTAGTCCCTGCATTGTCTACTCTTGTACTCCATGACCCTATTCCATATGTTCAAGGCCCCTCTGTGAAGCCTTAAACTAACCGGATGTCCTAAACTTCAAGAGCCCAGCCTCATGCAGGGTATACCCTAAACCCTCCACCCCTAAAGCCCCAAACCGGATAGCTACCAATATCCTAAACCCTAAACCCCTAAACCCTAAAAGGGTTCAGGACCCTAAACCCTAAAGCCTAAAAGGGTTTAGGGCCTCTGAAATCCAAGGATCGCCTATCTCTTGCGATACAGCCTGCCTTTGCTCTTCAACAACTACAAGACCGAAGCTGCATGGTTGCATAGTACCGGTTTAGGGTTGAGGAATTAGGGTTTAGGGACTACCGGTTTAGGGTTGAGGGTTTATGGACATTTTTGAGCACACCTTCGGGCGTCATACTACCCAGCAGCAGTTTGGGGCATATCCTCGCGCTTCGCAGTTTAGGGTTTAGGGTTAGCAGTTTAGCTTCACACCATGGCCCTACGTACATCCCCATCATTGCTGCCATCCGGAACTCTTCTTAGGAAGTCATTGCAGTTTCATCGGTAAGTCGAACTACATCATCTAAAAGTGATGAGTGCCGTGAGTCCAAGTGCGCCCAACCCCGGCCAACTGCATTACTAGTTGAGATCCTGGCCTCGTCTGACCGTCTGAGGGAATCTGACAGTGTAGGCCGACCGAGAAGCAGAACCCTACAGTTTTGGAAATCAGTGCCCTCATGCCCCTGAACACCAGTCTTACGAGATACTCAGTATGGGGGTTTCCGAAAATAGGGGACCCTAATATAGTACCCTAAATAGTAGGATCCTTATTATAAGGACACCAAAAAAAGGTACCCTAATTTTCGGAAAGCCCCATATGCTAACGCCAACTCCGCGACTCGGAACCCCAAAGCCAAACCACCCGAAGAAACAAGAGACAAGCCACTCATGTCTACTCAACGACCCGAAGACCCTATGTCCCACACAAAGGCAGACATGCTGCTGCCGTATCTTGCTTTGGGCGCTCTGCGGAGGGAGCAGTGCCCGTCTCGCGAACTAGGGGTGGGCAGAGTTTGTTTTCCTATGGTGCTGTCACAACTGAAAAAACCTGCCTGCCTTAAGCCAGTATCCTAGTTTGTGTTGCCCTCTCCGGTTGAACTTTCAGGGCATAAGGTTCAGGGTTCAGGGGTCTATGCTTTGGGTGTTTTGGTTCTCGATGCTTGAAACTGACGGTTCGGCATTTTTTGGTTTAAGGCCTTGGGAGTGCGGCCGAAGGTATCCCGATGAGAATCTTCTTCTGGCCGATCATGGCATCGCCAACCACAGGCCAAGGATAATCATCGTCGATGTCGGTGCCTTGGTCGCGCTTCGGCTGGTGTTCCATTCGAGTTGCATTTTGGCTGTGCAGAAGAAATGCGATCATCAGTCATGCCCGTGTTCGTGGTACTTAGTCGGGGTTGTTGGTGCTCGTATTGTAGTTTCGATGCGCAGTCGGTGCTTTAAGAATACGATGTTCTGTTGGTCGGTTCCACGCGTCAAAACTTAGTTTACGCCGTAAAGCTCCGGAAGTCGGGCACTTTCTGAACTGCCGTCAAAGTAGAGCACAGTGCTTAGCAAGTGCTGCAACATCATCAAGCACCCAACCCGCCAGAGTTTATGACCTGCCTGCACCCCGGGCACCCGCATCCCCAAACTGTAAACTCGACAGTAGCCCTTTGGGTAACCCTAAACGAATCCCTCTAGATCGATGAGCGTGATACATTAAAGCCAGAATCAACAGGCGCCCACACCGGCGAGTTCTCCCAGCAGGTTGTTGAGGTTTTCCGCAGCTTCGGCATTCGCCGGCATGATGGACGTGCAAATCCCGGCGGAGTGGGGCAGGACCGGGTTGCGGCAATGCTGCGCAAGAAAGCATCTGATCCATCTAAGTCTGTGTCCGTGCAGTTGTCTATGTGTCTATCCATCTGACGGTCCATCTATACAACTATCATTCCGTCTATCTATTTGTCTGTCTCTCCACCTAGCGACCGATGGATCCGTCGATCTGTCGGTCTAGCGACCCATCTATCTATCTGTCTATCTGGTTTAGGGTTTAGGGTTCTGTCTATCTGTCTGTCTGTCTGTCTGTCTGTCTGTCTGTCTGTCGGACTATCGATCAATGTATCGATGTGCCACCTGTCTATGTTCGTCCATCGATCGATCTGTCGGTTTAACTGTCGTTCTATCTATCGATTTGCCAGGAATTTTATCTATCCATTGATTTATCGACCCGTCCATCTCCATTTACCTACGTACCTGTGTATCAGTCTATCTGTCTATTTTGTCTACTCAGGGGGTTTAGGGTTTAGGGGGGAATTTCTGAGCCAGGCATTTCTTTTGGAAACTACAGATGTACCACTCAAAGGTGTTTAGAGACTACTAATTGCGTCGACTTATTACAATCTCTGCAATAGTGAGGGCAGCTGCCAGAAATCCTACCAGCCTGCCCATAGGCCCCTAAGTCCTAAGTAGTTCTTGTTTGTGGTTCACATGTAGAATCCTGTAAGGTAATCCCAAAAAGGAACTGCTTAGGCGCCTATGCCTAAACACTAAACCTCATCAGGACCCTAAACCCTAAACCCCAAACCCTAAACCCTAAACCCTGAGCCCGAATCAGGCCTCTGTGCTCGCCATCGAGCCCAGTCCGACGGCCTACTCTCAGCTGATCCAGAACGCGCGCGAGCAAGGCCTTAATATTATCATTTAAGGTACTCTAAACCCCTAAACCCTAAACCCCTAAACCCTAAACCGCTAAACCCCTAAACCGCGAAACCCCTAAACCCCTAAACTCCCAAACCCTAAACCCCTCAACCCTAAACCCCTAAAGGTTGGGGCGACAGTCTTTGCGCTCTGAACCTTGCTGTGGCCGGCTCAGAACGACATCAGACAAGGGGTCTGCGGTCCTATCAGGCTTGATTAAATCTAGGTGCGGTTGAGTGGATTCGAGTTGGTGTTTTCAGGAATGTGCTTTTCCGAACTGTCGGTTCCCAACTTCCGTCCTCAACCCAGAAACCCTTAACCCTACACCCTAAACCCAGAACCGAAAGCTAACTTCCCGTCAACGCGTTGAGAAGCAAGTGAGGTGGCTTCTGTTCCAGCTGAGAGGGTCGCTTTGCAGTACGAGGGCAGCATGGTGGCGAGTCTTTGGAGGCCTTCTCGCACTGGGCCGGAACCTGCAACTTCGGCTGAAGGGCTTTTTCATGCAGATTTGGGAGTTTCCGAAAAGAAGGGGTACCTTATTTTCGGGTCCTTATAATAAGGATCCTATTATTTAGGGTACTTTTTTGGGGTCCCCTATTTTCGGAAACCCCCATTTCATATTACTCAAAGCCTTCAGCGCTCTAGGCCAGGACGGCCCAAAAGCCTTCGATACGGCCCGCAATCCATGAAACCAGGAAACCCTAAGACAGACACCAAGCACAAACATCTTTTGACTATCGGGTGCTAACCGGATATGCTGGCTCCCCGAAGTGCTTCAGAGTGCCCATGGTGGACGTCGGAATCTTGGGTTCGGGGCTGCGGGTACTTACTATGTCATGGTTTTTGTTCTGGTGGCTTATGGTTGTATGGCTTAACTTCAGATGTTGAGATGCAATCTGAGTCAGAGGAGACTTCGGTCGTCAGGGATTGGAGTGCTTTTCCACCTTGCTGTCCGTTCGCAGCAGAGAAATCCCCACCCGCCCCGGGGAGAGCCACTTTCCAAGGATAAAAGGAGGGACCCTTGATAAGGACCCCTGGGCCGAACAGCTGAATATAGCTCTTATATACCCAGTATATAGCCCATTATATAGGGTAGGGATCCCCATTAAGGGTCCCTCCTTCTGCCATTTGGCTCTTAGGAGAAGCTGACGACCGTGCAGCAGGAGACCTTGGATAGGCTGCTTTCTTCCGGCGTCTGCCGCTACCACACCTCCGAGGAGATTTTCATCCTCAAGCTGGAGTTCTGGATGTCCGGATTAAGTAACCCTAAAGGGGTCCATGTACCCAAATAGATATACTTTGGCCTTAAAGTAGTCCCTATTTGGGTACTTTGGGGCCAAAGTACATCTATTTGGCTACATGGACCCTTAGGGTAATGTAGACCGCTAGCTACCACTGGACTCGATTCCCTGCTCGGAAAGTTCTCAGGGAATCCCTTCTTCGGACCGATAGAGGGGATGGATTTCATTCATTCGGTTGTCTACGGTGCCATTCGCTCTGCGATGGCCATCGTCGCTGTCATTGTCAGGAGTTCAGTCAATCTGTGAATAGCGCTGCACTGAACCCCAATGCCCTAAACCCTAGACGCTAGACCCTACGCCTTTAGGGTTGCATTTAGGGTTTAGGGGAGGGTTTAGAGTTTAGGGTTTAGGGTTTAGTAGACTTAGTGGCAGCATGCCATTAGTTCCAGCTATGCGACCTCGGTCCGTACACAAGCTTTCCCTACATTTCAGCTTTTGCTTCTTTATCAGCCCCAAAGAAAGCCATGCCAGGACCCCGAAAAGTGGGTAAAAGCATGGCCCAAGACCTATAAAAAGGCAATTATTCTACATACTTTTTGGGGGTCCAAGGTCAACCCTAAACCTAAACCCTCTAAACTCCTACACGGCCCTAAACAGCTGCAGAGCTCCTGAAGCCTGGAATTCCTTAGTTTGATTGCCCCTTTCACACAATCCCTGCTACAATTTCCTCGGCTCAAGCTTGACCTGGGACTTGAATCCATCCCCGACCCGAATTCTGGTTAGGGTTTAGGGTTTAGGGGGTTTGGGTTTAGAGGTTTGGGTTTAGGGGTTTGGGTTTTGGGTTTAGGGGTATGGGGTTTGGG